TGGACAATTAGAAAGCAAAATTACATATTGGAACATTTATTGAAGTTGTCTTTGACTTTTGGAGGCAGTTAAGAAGGTCAGAGTTTGAGGATTGAGTTCACCTACATTAATAGTTATTCTAGTATTAAGTGACTCCATATGAAGCACTGTATGACTGGAAGCGCAGAACTTGATTAAGTTATGTTAATGAACATCAACTATTAGGACATGAACTAGTTAATAAAGCCATAGAGCAAATCAAATTAATTAGAGGCAAATTGAGAGTTGCTCGGGATCGACGGTAAAATTATTATGAGCCAAGCACTGGGTAGTTGAGGTTGTGATTTTATGTTTCTAAAAATCAGGCCAATGAAAAGTACTAACATGGAAAATATTGGTCAAATTGCTTGCAAGCTAGCCTTGTCGTTTGATATGTCAGATATCCATAATGTGTTTCACATATCCATATTGAAAAATTATGTTTCAGATGCAGGCCATTGAATTTCACATGAAGATATTGAGGTGCAAAAAAAATTTTCATATATCAAAGAGTTGGAGTAAAACTTATAAATGAATATTATGTCGTTGAGGATTAGACAATTTTTTTTGTTAAAATAAAGTGGAAGCACAGGCAAGAAATAGAAACTACTTGGGAAAGAGAACAAGAAATGCGGCTTAAATTTCCTTTTCTATTCAAGTAAATATTCAAAAATTTCGAGGACAATTTTTATAACGAATGGAGTACTCTAATACCCAATTTTGTCATATTTAGGTAAATTGTGTATATATTTTAATGAAATTTTTTTGCACGCTTCCTTGTGTTGAGAATGTGAATAAATCTTGAATTGAATTGGATTGTTTATATTGGTAATGATAAGTGAGATTAATCTGCCACTTGTTGAGTCTTGATTTGTGCAAGTTGGAACTAATGTTAGTCGGAATTGCGTCCAACTGAGTTGTCCATCTTTGTTGCGCCATTGTTTGACCAAAAGGGAGGGTTAGCTGCGTCTTGACTTCAGCCAGCTTCTTATTTGTGCCATTAGGAAATTATGTCAATCAAGGGATGGTTGCTATTGCCATCCGGAATTGCTGACCCGTCTTGCCATATACGTGGTTGACTCCAAGGAGTTGGAAGATAATTTTGCATTAATCATTTTCCTTTCGGAAAGATGAGGCAGCATTCAACACAAACTATTTTAATTTTTCTAAATCTATTTCAACTTCATTGCCTTTATATTGTTTTGCATAAACTTCTTATAATTTTTTTTCCATATTGTTTTAAATTAACTTATAATTTTTTTTCGTTTGCTTAAAAAAACTATGAAAAAGTTTATCTTTATTTGGCTAACAGATCTCCACCAATGCAAAGATGCGTTCTACTGCCTTTGCAGCATACGGCGCATTAAGTGAATGTGCCACAAGTACTCAAGGTCAGGCTTTCGTTGAGCAGGTATGTCAATATTTGAACTTGATTCTACTGATTAAAAATGTCATGTCCAGTAAATACTCAAATCATAACTACAAGGTGGCTTACAATATTTGGCAAACCGTTTAATTTAAAGTCTCATCTTTTATGCTAGATTTACTGGTTGCGGTTATCTTTCTTGTGGAATTATTTTCAGTTTAATCTTCCACTTAAATGGCTTCGAACTGTACTTTTTCAATTTCGTATTCCATTTTTTTGAAACTAGCAATGTAATTATTGCCTTCACATATTGAATACGTTTTCGTTTCCTTATTGCCGGTTAGCCTTGAATAAGCAGAAAGCATACCGAGTTGAACTGGCTCTGGACAGTAAAATCTCGAGCAATTGCAGTTAAGCAAAAAACAAAATACTACATTGTGGGAGTTATAATTTATGCTGTTTGGCAATCTTTTTTGCTGTATATTTGTGCTTTTTAATACTTGAATAATGAGTTTACCTGAGAAAAATTCCTACTTCTATCAAGTAAAGAGTAGCCTTCTGAGCTATGGTTGACATTCTATAAACCACTTTTGTTTATGAAAATGCTTCTTCCAACTCTATACTAAGGATTTATCTAAACATTATATATTAAATTAGTCTAATTATTGATTAATGAAAGAGTTGTTAGCTAGTTATGTTGGAATTAACTGCTAATTATTCAGGGTTTAGGTTTAGGACTAATTAAGATTATGCATTAGTATAGTTTGTCACTGAAACATTCACTGCTATATCTATTAGAATATTTGGAAATTGATTATACTATTTATTTATTAATTATTAGGACTATAAGCTGTAATTAGTTTATTAATTAATTATTAATCAAAATTAATGATATGGATTTAACTTATTTTTCTAACCTACAAATTTATAACTAGATAATGAAATAAGTACAACATGGACAATTAACAGGAACTTTTAGAGAAAAAAGAAATATATATAAGACAAAAAAATAATATGAGCGCAAGGAAGCACGGGAGTTTGAAAATCTGTTGTATCGCCTAGTTTCAGCTTGGTGAAAATAGTTATAACATTTTTTTTTCTTGTTCTAATCCCGCTTGGGGAATAAGATGTAAACTCTCATTTCCGCCAGCACTGCACTCAGTAAGCTCCCATCAGAATCAAGAGAATGCTGTGAATCATGATCATCAGAGAATTCACCATTGAGTTAGGTGAGAAATTTCTAGACCAGGAAGATCAATATCCATTGTATTATTTTTATGTGGTGTAGATAATATAACTGTAGGAGTGGAAAGTGCGGGCACAACAATTTCAACTTCTAGAGGATCGATTGGAATGTGATTTTTTATTCAAACCTTAACTAGTGATGGAACAGCAGCTACTGTTGGACTATGCATGATTTGGCCATTTGAGTATACCTTTTAACCCTGAATTTTTTCGTTTCTTAAATCTGAATGAGTCTTGAAGCAACTAGGATAATTTTGGATAAAGATATTGCAGAATGAACAATTTTTTTAAGAGATTTAGTGCTCATATTAAATTTTGATTAATTATTTGGGTAATATTTTTACATATCCTTGTTAGACGAAATTTTATAAATTAGGTAGTGATGATGGGGTTCAGGCTATTATTAATGAATGCTAAATTTTCTTGATCTATTGTTTCAATTGGTAATTAAGTTTGCTATTTTCTAATGATTAATTGTTGGAATATTAAGTTATTCAATTGATTTCAAACAAATTAAAAAATAATTTGTTAAATTAGTTATTTCTTTCTAACTTTGCTATGAAACTAGCTTGTTTATTATTGTTAGTTTGAACCAACTAAGAGAGGGTAAGTTGGACTTCCAAGGGGTTTTTTGAAACTCTTCCCTAGCTGAATCCACATACTGATATGCAGAATTAACAATTAAATCAGCCAGTCATTCACAAATCTAGTTGTTAAATTTTATTGTTTCGCTATATCTGCTATTTTTTTTATATCGATATTCCATTTAGGTCCATTCCACTTTACCCCGTCTTATTCTCCATCTTCATGATGATGACTCGAGAGTTCGTCAATCTTGCCGGGTAACTTTCTTTTTCCCATTTTTTAGTAATTCTAAATCAATTTTCTCTCGAGGCTTTTACCAAATTTATATTCGAGCAGAATACCTTCAAAAAACTTGCACCACTGATAGGAGTGGATGGCTTGTCTTCCCTCTACACCAAACCATATTTTAACTCGGATTGTCGGTGTGTTTTCTCATCCAACTGTTAACTTGTTCAAATTTTCAGGATTTATCATATTGAAATTTGTATTCTGCATGTCTCAGGAGTGACTACGAGGATTTTTTGAGGGACTTAACCAGACAGTTGGGCCAATTTTTAGCCGCTAAACTTGGTGCCTACCTGGCGGCAGTGATCCAGGTGAGAGAAGCTTCATGTTCTTTGTTGAAGGAAAACTATAAATAGAGTGTTTTGACTTTTGAGCTAATTCTGTACTATTACTGTAGTGTTTTGATGCACCATGGCCTACTATTCAAGCAAATGCCATATATTTCTCCAGCTGCATTCTCACTCTTCCGGAGGACCAGCGCACACCGCTACATTATCATTTACAGGTCAGAATACATTTGGATATAGAGGATATCTCCTGATTCTATTGGGAAAAAAACTAACAGGGCATTTCCATAAATGCCACCCAATTCTTATGTATTTACATATCAAACACCTAAATTTTATTATTACATAAAAATAGTAAAATACTACTTCTTAAACCTTTAAGAAGTGAAACACACCTTTCATGCATAGGGGAGGTGTCATTGTATGTAAAAATCAAAGTTTAGGTTTTTTATATATGTAAATACAAAAGGATTGAGTGGTATGTATGTAAACCTTCCAAAACTAATCTGTTGCGCCCCCTTTCTTTAGGTACTTTCACTTCTTGTAGGAAAATGAGTCAGTCCCCCGATACGGTTGTGCGAGCAACCTGTTCGTTTTCGATGGGACTTTTACTCAAGTCCTCTTTTCCCCATATATGGGCTTTACCTACAGACCTTGATAGATCTGATTCCTCAAGAAGTTCTCAAGATTGAAGCTCTTTTAACTCATACCTTTGTTTAGTCTTCTTTTCAAATGTGGAAAGGTATCTTTGTCCTCTGATTGTGTGTGTTGTGTTTATTATCTCTTAGGGTGTGATGTAAACTGTTGTATTGAGTTGTATATTTATCAGGAATGTAATAAATGAAAAACAAATGAAGAGATCAGAGAATATATCATGGCCATTTTCGCCGGCATGTGATTTAGAGAGTGGTGGCTTAGAAGAAGATTTATTAGTATTTTTTTTTTTATTTTTGAATGTATGGTTGTATTTTTCTTTTGTTTGTTTCTTTATCTTTTGATGGATATCTAACTTTTTGTTTTACTGGGAAAAGATGAGCTCAAATGGTAACATGCATTATTCAAACTAACGATCTCACAAGAGGAAACTAAACTCAACCTGGGTAAGTGCATTGTTCGAGTTTGTTTCTTCTCCAAAATAATGTATAATGAGGCTAAAAATTTCACTTAATGGTTCAACAAGAGTTGAAGAAACATAAACAGTGACAAAATACTTGTTTCTTTGAAGATGGTTGAAAATTTAGGATTATAAGAGATGATTTTTAAAAAGGATAAAAATAAATAAAATACAATGCCTTAAAAGAGTAATTTCATCAAAAATGCCAAGTAAAGTGGCTATTCATTAAATTTGACTTGCAGTTAACCTTGAGCTCTTTTTTTTTTCTTTTTTTTTTTTTTTTTTTTTTTTTTTTTTTTTTTTTTTTTTTTTTTTTTTTTTTTTTTGTGATATCAAATTGATGAAACAAGTAGATGGACCAGTGTTCTTTATAAGTGACCAGTAAGCCTGACTTGTTATATTGCAAATAAAACAAGTGAACTAAGATCACTTGCTTACTATATCAATTTATTATAATGAAAGAGCATGTAGTTTGAATATTCTGATAATTACAATAGCAAGCCATAATGCCACTAAGTGGATTTGTCTGCACGAATCTGTTTGTCCTTTTTGACTCGTATTTTTATTAATTTTAATAAATTAATATCATTTTTTTTTTTTTTTTTTTTTTTTTTTTTTTTTTTTTGTGATATCAAATTGATGAAACAAGTAGATGGACCAGTGTTCTTTATAAGTGACCAGTAAGCCTGACTTGTTATATTGCAAATAAAACAAGTGAACTAAGATCACTTGCTTACTATATCAATTTATTATAATGAAAGAGCATGTAGTTTGAATATTCTGATAATTACAATAGCAAGCCATAATGCCACTAAGTGGATTTGTCTGCACGAATCTGTTTGTCCTTTTTGACTCGTATTTTTATTTAATTCTAATAAGTTATAACATTTTAAAGTCTTTTTAGGTCTATCTCTATTTTTCTTAAAATGAGTCTAAAGCATTTTTTTTTCTTAAATGTCAACGTTTAATATGATTAAACCATTTAAGATTATCTAATCTTTTTTGCCATTAGAGCTACACAAATTCTTTCATGGATATATTTTGTTTCACATTTTATCTTCAAGTGCCAAATCATTCATTAACTTGAGCATTATCATCATAACATGTGAGATCTAGCTCGGAGCTTGAAATAATCGAGATAAGTATGGATTGGCAGACATTGGAAGTTCAATTAATCAATAACAAATATTTTAATATATTAAAGAACCACTATAAAAAATTTAATCAAAGTAAAATAATTAAATTTACATTGTTTTTAATTGTCCGCATTATCTTTAAATTTTTTCTTTTAACATTTATTTTTAAATTAACTTGGGCTCCGTATGGGACCGCGGTTGGATAGCTTCACGACGGCATCCAGCGCAATCTTACGAATTATTTCTATTTTTTTTCGGAGTCCTGCTGCAAGCGGGACGCGAATTTGGCGGAAAGCGGGCCTTGGGAACAACCCAGTTGTCGGCTTTCGCGATCTTATTTTTCTTCTGCCCGGCATATTGCGACGCGACCACTGCCCTAACGCCTCGCGAAGCAAACGCTCTCAACTCGCTTCCCCACCTGTCCCCTGCTGCCGATCCTCTCGCAAAACCAAAACCAAGTTGTCTGCTGCTCCTTCCACAATCGTTTGAAGCACATTGACGAAGGCCATAATTTTGGGAGAAACTGGGAGCTATTCATCACTGCCTTCCAAACTTACTCTAATCCTGAATGTGCCTTCCAAACTTACTCTAATCCTGAATGTACCACGAGGGGTTCATGCAAGAAGGGCATGGTTCTAAGCAAAATTGGGATGGAGAGATTTCGATTTTAATTTTGTTAATTTAAGTTATTAATAGTAATAATTAATTCATATATTTTTAAATTAATAATAATTAGATAGATTTATATATTATTATTTAATAATTAATTTATTTATTTATAAATATATTTTTATGTTTTTAATTATTTGATGTAGATACAAGTTATTACTATTTAATTATTAATTAATGTAGTAATTTGTTTACTAAAAAAAATTTATTTTATATTATATTTTACACAGATTTATTAATTATTAATTAATGTAATAATTTGTTTACTAAAAAAAATTATTTTATATTATATTTTACACAGATTTATTGAACTGGGCAAAATTATTATTTTTTCAAAAACAAATGCCCCATAATTGTTTTCAGACAACTGCAACAAACAACCAATCAACTTCCCTGCAGCAACTTTCTTAAGCAGCGCTGCTGCAGCTGACCCAATCAAAATTATTATTTTTTCAAAAACAAATGCCCCATAGTTGTTTTCAGACAACTGCAACAAACAACCAATCACCTTCCCTGCAGCAACTTTCTTGGGCAGCGCTGCTGCAGCTGACCCAATCAGACCCTAAACTTTAAAAGTCAATTTAAGATAGCAATAAGATAATTAGTTCTATAAATTTTAAGAAACTAATAATAATAACCGAATAATAACCACAGGAGCTAATTTCAATTTCTTAAAAGCCACAATAAAACTCCAAATGTAACCATGACTTCTAATAAAAAAATAAAACTGTAATGAAACTGCTCCAACAGACTAACTAATATGTTCTAATTTGTGTTATCAAAGTTTTATTAATGAAGCCATATTACCTAAGTCTTTAAGTAACTAAACATGAGAATTTCAGACCAATTGTTTGTAGAAAGCAACAACTTCGCACAAAAAGCCTCTACACAATTTTATTCTTGAACAGCTTCCGAGACCTTTTTTTTTCCCACTCAATCATATACAGAATCTACACAATTTTATTCTTGAACAGCTTCCGAGACCTCTTTTTTTTTCCCCACTCAAGCATATACAGAACTGTGATGCACAAACAAGCTATAACAAAGATCTAAACATTATACGTGCTTCCAAAAAATAAAAATAAATAATAAAAAAAATAATAAAAAAAAATGCCAGAGTGCTTCCAGAGATTTCCGTCTAATAAAGAACTAATACCAACCTGGCCTGATCACTAACGGTTGTGCACCATCTCGTATTCATCTGAGATGCAAAGGACAGGGTTAGCTATTATCAAACTATAGTAAAAATAAATAAATGATAATAATAACAACATTATTAATTAATTAATTAATGAAACAAATGATGGAAACCTTGTGTTGCCTGAAGGGTAGATCCATCCGGACATTGTCCTTTGACATCAAGCTTAGAACTCCTAAACTGAAAATGTAGAGAAAAATCAATGCAAAGAGTTATATCTTAACCCCTTCCTGTTACAAAAATAATGTAACATATATATGTTTATCTACAAACAAAATAATCTACAGATCTACAGACTAAACGACAACTAGATTGGCCTCCTTCTCCCAGCATCACTTCTCATTCTTTTCACAGGCCAGGCCCATCTCAATTCTTCCATGCTGGAAGCATCGCTACCACGACCTCCCAGTTGCTCGGCGTAAAAGGCTCGATCAACCTTCCGCTGCGTTGGGCGTGCATAATCTTTCTCGATTGGCAATGACGTTCGGACTGGGCCCATCTTTGGTCTCAATGATGATCTCTCCCTGTCCTTCCTCTTCTTTTTGCAGATAACTAGGTCACCAGGGTGAGTAAGTAATGAATTGGATTTGAAAATTGGTGTTCGAGTTGCAGACCTATGAGGGCTGAGGCCTCCATCTTCCCTAACCATCTTCTGTAGTTTGGATTGGTTTATGATGCATGGCTTCGAGCTCTGCTTCGCTAAGGTTCTGCCCTGAGCGGGACTTGAGAAAGTGAGTGCCATCTTCACCTCCTTAAAATCTGAATCTGGGAAAGCTATCTTCATGATGTGGAAGAAGATATCATGGAGCTTTCTTGCTTCATATTTTGCCTGTTACCATAAAAATAAATGTAAGCTTTATGTTAACAAACAACTCATGGTCAGCTAAATGAGAGATGAGTATGAAAAAGATTTCGCGATTTGTTTATTAAACAGAACAAAATCAGAAGTGAGCCAACCCGATTATGTTCAAGTTGATGCTTATCTGAAGTTGTTCTTTCAATTTCATGGATACCGATTATATGAATTTTGATTTCTATATTAAATTGACAAAGAGCTAAGGGATTATACACAAATCTTTAGTAGAAAGGGCATACCTCTTGTGAGTGTCTGTAAAACTGAACTACATTTCTTAACATTGACTGCACGTCAGCAATAAAGTCTGCCACCTCAGCATACTCTAAACTTTCGACTCGCTGATCAATACTCTGCAAATTAAGAGGGCTGCTCATCTTCGAAAAATTGCTTCTGGGTTTTGAGGAATCATTTTTCTTCCATAAATCATAAAACAAAGGTACAAGTTGACAACCTTCTTTATCTATCATCCACCGCAACTTGCTAATTACATTCTTGCACTGAAAGATAAAAAACAAAATTTGGGGTTGAGCAAAGTTTGACTTAACCACAAAAGCTAAGAAAAACAGCCATGAAGCGTATAAAATTTTAATAAACTTTATTGATTTAAATAAAACATAATCACAGTTTAAATTTGTAAGAAAAAAAAAGAAATAAAACTCATCCTACAAATGATCAATCGCAACTAGTATGGAAGAGAATTCCACAGTTCATTATGTCCAGCAAAGCTACGTACAAGATTCTGATAATGATAAGAGGATTCTGCATTTCTTTCCCAACCAACAGGTTCGTTGACTATATTTCAGATGGTGAAAAAAACACATTATCTGAGCATTTACGTTACTAGGTTCTTGCATGAACAGATAAAACAATTGGACCAAGAGAGCCATTTTTTCTAGAACATAAAAGAGATGTTATTCAACATCATTTGAGCTCGAATCTGCAGAAGATAAGAGCGTTACCTTCCTCTGCATACTGTTAAGCGATTTTCTTCTGATAAGACCAGGGCCAGTATTACAACTGGCCTGGCCATTCCAACTCTCCCTGGATTGATCCAGGACATCTTCTTCACATCCAATCAAGTAACTAGATCCTCCAGACTTCTGTTTATTGATAATTGGAGCCCTTCTTGTGGGGCTATAACTTCTCTGCTTCAGAGATGAAGGAGATCTGCCATGTCTACTCGAAAGAGGACCATTGAATATCCTTGAAACCTTACTATTATCATGATGATCATGTGAAAGAGGTTGAAAGCCATGCTGAGAAGTCCTATAAGTACTGAACTTCTCTTCCAGTCTTTCCACAGTGTGTCTAGGGTGAAAGCGCTTACTGCGTTTGCGCTTAAATTTAGGCTGCATGACCTGCTCATCCTCACCATCATCTCGGTAGTGATTCCAACTACCATACTGTTGAATCTCTATACGTGAATCACTAGATGCAGCAATTTCACCTTCCTCCAGCTCATTTAGCTGCAATATGACAAAATAATCATTTCACATGGCAATTAAAAGGAATTTAAAAAAAATAAAAAAGAAACATCTCCCTTTGAGCAGCTCACTTAGCTGCAATATGACGAGTATCATGACATGGCAAATAAGAAAAAAGTGTTTCTAAAAAATTCATTTCATACCTTTGTTGAAAGAACACCTGGCCGAGCACCTAATTCAGATAGAGATCCAAATTTCCGTAAAGAGATGGAAGGGGTAACAGGTTGCTGCACTCTTCTGTTTCCAAAAGAAGATCCTGTGGAATCAGCTTCCTCACACATATCTTTGCTTCTCTCAATGCAATGTGAGAATTCATAACCAGCGCCATCACAAACCAGTGCCCCCTCTTCCAAAGAATTTTTAATGTTTCCTTCTAAATCAGCAGCAACACTTAAATATTCATCTTCAATATATCCTAATTCTCGATCTTCCTCTCGTGAGGAATACACATTTTCTTCCTCTGAGCCAGCATCAAAATCTTCTCCATCTTCATCATCAAATTCCACATAAGATGAATATTTGTGGGCTATTACTCCTCTTGGTCGTCCCCTTTTTCTCTCTGTTTTGCAAAGTGATGAGCCAGGTATCATCTCACTGGATTCCAAGTCAACAACACTGCCTAAAATGTTCTTTGATGGCCTCTTATATAGCCTTGCAATAAAAGCATTTAATTCCTTAGAGTCAGCCCGTAGCCACATTGGAACCTGATCGTGCTTTGTCATCTCTCCCATCCAATCAAGCTCCTCATCCATTTGATCAAATAGCTCAACTTCCTCCTCACTCCGAGCTATCATACGATTTACCTCTAAGGGAGATGGAACGTCATAAACTGTTTCTTGATATCTTTCTTCATCATGCAACAATGCCTCCAAAGTCATTCTCCTTTCTTCATGTGTTGTTCTCTGATCAAAACGGCCAGCATTTATAACCTCATCTGCCATCTCAATTTTATACTGTTGAATGTTATTCCGTATAAGGCTCTCAATTGAGCCTATGTATTGATGCATGCCAGCACATCTTTCTTCTGAATCTCCACTTCCACCATTCCTTAAGTAATCCTCTTTCTGATAGCTTGAGATCTTGTCAACAACTGCTACCATATATATGACTTTGACCTCCCTCTTTTGGCCAATGCGATGAGCTCTAGCTATTGCTTGCTCTTCATTCTGAGGATTTGGATCCGGATCATAAATAATAACCGTGTCGGCAGTCTGGAGATTCAGACCTCTTCCTGCAGCACGAATGCTGAGCAAGAAGATAAAACTGTCAGAAACAGGGCTATTAAAATCAATAATAGCTGATTCACGATCTTCTAAGCTGGTTGTTCCATCAATTCTTCTATATACAAGTCGACGCCATTGTAAATATTCCTCTACTAAGTCAAGGAGTTTGGTCATGGTGCTAAAAAGAAGAACACGATGTCCTGCTCTATGGAGTTTTAGCAGAATCCTATCAAGGATCCAGAGTTTCCCACATGACCTAATAAGAAACTCTTTTGAATAATCATTAAAATAAGGGTAGTTGAGCAGGGGATGATTACATGCCTTCCGCAACTCCATGCATTTGTTATTAAGATTTCTATACATCTTAATCTGGTAATTTGGATTCCTCTCAGCCCTACGCAATTCATCATCAGGATCTACCCTGATGGTACCAGTCGATTTAATCCAGTCATATATGGCACCCTGTAAAGCTGACATTCTACACCTCAAAACAATTGAGACCTGTAATCATACATCAAATGAAATTACACTATAAGCCATACAAGAAGCTGAAGGATGCATAAATCTATGAAATTACCTTGGGAGGAAGTGACCCTTCCACATCTTCAACACGTCGCCTAAGCATGAAAGGTTCCAAGATTTGGTGAAGCCTGTGGATGACAATTACTTTCTTTTCAGTTTCAAGCCAATCATCTTCCTCTTGAGTATGTGATGAGCCATCTTTCTGAAAGGGCTTTGAAAACCAATCATGAAATGCTTTTCGATTGTCAAATACTTCTGGTAGAAGTAGATTTAAGAGTGACCAAAGTTCTTTCAAATCATTCTGCCAAAAGACTGATACAATCAAAAAGAAAAAGATACAAAATTTCTCTTTTCCTAAAAGTAAAATTAAGTCGACAGTAACATTTCACCGTGAATAGCGCATTTTAAAAGAAGGACGATAAACTTTTCTCATCTATAAAAATGTAATATAAACTACAACCATGAGGAATTGCTGAATATATGAAACATCAAATTAGAAAATATGTAAGATATATACAACTGGGACTGCAGGGGAAAGTTATTGAAACCAGAGCTACATAAAAAAAGGTACTGGATTCAGGCTATCATAAATATTTGATAACCAGCCATACCTGCAAGGGTGTACCAGTAAGTAGCAATCTTCTTTGGCAACGATACCTATCAAGATCCCGAGATAAGACAGACTCCCTGTCCTTCATACGTTGAGCTTCATCAATAATAATATACTTCCAATCAATTCTCGATAACTTGGACCGATCATACATGACAAACTCATAGGTAGTCACAAGTACATTAAATTTCATAGAAGAAACCTCCTGAACAATAAAAATAAGGAATGTATAAGCGCAACACAAAATAGAAAACAAGGAGTAGAGTTTAAGCAAATTATGAAAAAAAAAGGAAAATCTCACTTGAGACATTGAGTTGCATTTATCAACAGGAGAAGAATAAACCACAAGACTGTAACAGTCTTATGTAAGCAGCCACTGCAAAAGAAATTTTTACAAACACTTATCCTCCATCTCTTATCTCATAATGCATCTCATAACCACGTCATATACAAAAATGTCTCAGACAATGGAAAGTAAATAAAGGTACGCAAATATGCTTTTCCCTTTCTGCCTTATCACGGAGCTTGAAAATAGGACTTCTTTTACAACCTTTCTTCTGCAATTCATGGCATCACCAGCAAGTATACTTTTCTGACAGCCTATTTTCTTTAGAGTGTATGGTCGTTTAATGGCCTTTCTGCTGTATATGACTTCTCCAACAAGTGTATTTTTTCCTAACGGCCTTCTACTAACTACTGCTTTCTACAAGAGACAAGGCTTCACAACTATGTTGCACAGATACAAACACGGGGACACGAACACAATATGACATGGACATTGAACACATCTATTATTAATATATAAGACAAGGAGGCGTGTCAGACACGCCATTATGATAGAAATTATGTGTGTGTGTGTGTGTGTATATATATATATATATATATATATAATATTAAGAATAATATAAAAAAGAAAATAAAAAATTCAATACCATTATCTTTCAAAAAGTAAGATGTCTGTAACGAGAAATATCAACGTAAGTGAGCGATTAACGAACTGCTCGACCTTGTCTATGAGAAAAAATTGGATGAATGTCGAACAAATAGATTTTACCTTCAAATAAAAAAATATATATTTTTTAACTAAAAAAATATACCATAGATTGTTAGCGTTGGAGACCGCGTCGCAAATCGACGCCAAATCCCGCTCCCGCTCTCCCAATCGCGCGACCCCGACTTTACGATTACGCCAACCGCTCCCGCATGTGAAGCGAAGTTTCATTTCGCTCTCTCCTGTTCCTGATAAAAGATATCGCACAGGTCTTCTTCAGTAAGAGAAGTCACGGTTGGTGTTCTTCGTCGGGCTTCCTCGAGACAGAAGGAAGAGAAGTACAAGAGGTAGTTCCTTGCGGTGAATGAAGAAGAAATAAGAAGAAGAAGATTGTTCTCCCTTGGCTTCTTCTTGGTGGTTTGTGGCAGAAGAGAAATTGGGTTTATTTCTCTTGTAAATTTATCTTCTTCGATGTAGAATTTTTTCGATGTATCTCGGTGTAGAGAAAGAAGAATAGAGAGAGAAGAAGAGAGAGCAATGAAATGAGAGAGAGATTTTTCTTGTAAGTCGAGGTAATCGACTGGTGTAAATTCCTCAAGTAGTAAAATCCTCTACAACTCCGTGGACGTAAGCAATTTGTCGAACCACGTAAATCTGTGTGTTCTTTCCTGGTGTGATTTTTCTCGTTCTATTTTTCGCTTCAAAGAACGTTCTCCTGTTTGATTTATATATATACCACATCAACTAGCTGGTGTATATCTCGCAACAACTGGTATCAAAACGTGGTTTCGGATCTAAGGAAGAATGATGGCTACAAATGAAGTCAAGATTTCAAGGATCGAGAAATTTGATGACACAAATTTTGGTGTTATTGGAGAATGTAGATAGAGGAATGTCTCTATGGGAAAAAATTTAATCTTCCGTTATTGGGGAAAAGACCTGAAAGGATGGATGAGACTAAATGGAATTTGTTGGATCGACAAATTCTGGGGTTTATTCGATTGACTCTATCGAGGCCTGTTGCACACAACATCGTCAAGAAAAGAATGACTGAAGATCTCATGACAATTTTATCAGGTATGTATGAAAAGACATCGGCGAATAACAAGGTGTACTTGATGAAGAAGTTATTCAACTTGAAGATGGCGGAAGGTGTTTCTGTTGCTCAACACCTGAATGATTTTAATACTATCACAAATCAATTGTCGACTGTTGAAATTGATTTTGATGATGAGATACGTGCGCTGATATTGTTGGCATCGTTGTTAAATAGCTGGGAAGTCGTGAGGATGACAGTTAGCAGCTATGCAGGTAAATCTAAATTGAAATGCGATGATATTCGTGATTTGATTTTGGTTGCGAAAGTTCACAGGAAAGATTCTGGCAAAATCTCAGGTATGAGTTCGGCACTGAATGTTGATTTCAGAGAGAGATGACATGACAGAAACTCAAATAAAGAAAGATCAAAATCAAAGTCTGGTCAGCAGACAATCTGTTGGAATTGTGGCAAGGCTGGTCACATAAAGAGGAACTGCAGGAATCCCAAGAATATGGAGAATGATAGCGCAAATGTGGTATCTGAAGAAGTAAAGGATGCACTATTGTTGACAGTTCATAGCTCTGTTGATGATAAAAATGAAGATGATAGTGGGTCTGGGGCACTCATTTCTATTGTTCCACAGACAGATAGTGGAGAACCACAGAGCTATGAGGAAATCTTACATGATGAAAGTTCGAGCAAGTGGGAGCTGACAGAACAGAAATTGGGTTTATTTCCCTTGTAAGTTTATCTTCTTCGGTGTATTTCGGTGTAGAGTTTCTTCGATATATCTCGATGTAGAGAGAGAAGAAGAGAGAGCAACGAAGTGAGAGTGAAAGATTTATCTTGTAAGTCGAGGTGATCGACTGGTGTAAATTCCTCAAGTAATAAAATCCTCTGCAACTCCGTTAACGTAAGCAATTTGCCGAGCCACGCAAATCTGTATTTTTTTCTAATGTGATTTTTCTCATTCTATTTTTTGCTTAAAAGCTTGTTCTTCTGTTTGATTTATATATATACCACATTAACTAGCTGTTGCATATCTCGCAACATCCATGTTTAAAAAATCTTTATAAAAAAATTATTTAAATAATTTAAAACAAGTGTGTCCCTTATTATTTTAATATTATTTAATTCAAACATGTTAGAGATGTGTCTAACACCTGTTCGGGGCATGTCGAACAAGTGTCAATGTTCGAGAAGTATCTGACATTGCACGGCTCTTTAGTTAAAAGTGTTTGTGCATCATAACTTTCATAGGGGCCATCAAAGTTCTATAACTCAACTAAAATGACATTATTTATTATCACAATCAGACGCATTAGGGACGTGTACGACACCTGTCAGGCGAGTGTCAATGTTTGAGAAGTGTGACAATGCATGGTTCCTTAGTTCGAAGTGTTTTTGCATCACCTAGGAGCCATCAAAGTTCTACAACTCAATTAATACAACATTATTTATTATTGCATTGGCCTTCCTCTTCAATTCCTTTTTGTTATCTAACAAATTTCAAATTCTACAACATATGATTGGCGCAAAGCAAATGGCAAACACATTCATAAGAAAAATAGTAAGTATAACAAAATAGATAAAAAGAAGAAAGTCAAGATATGCAACTAGAGGTTGCCTTATTTCAACCAAAACAAGTCTTGGCAATTTGGCCAAATATTTTATAGAAAGAAAAAGGGGATTGATATAATAATGATATCTAAAAACTTCTTGTAGATATATTTTTTATTAATACAAAGCACTTAAATCTTAAAAAAGAATGTACAGCTTTTACTTTATGCTCATTATTCCTTAAATCAAGGAAATCAAACAACCTCTAAAGTATTGAGCTTGAAGTTGTGATAGATTATTTTACAAAAATCCTTTTTCGAATCATTTATCTTTAGCACATATTCTATAATCAAGCTGATACTAAATTAAAACAAAACATGCATGCATAAGTGGGAGCCCTTCCATTGCTTCAAGAAGGCAAATACAAGAAGTAGAAGCAGGAACTTTTACAGAAAATTAAAGAATTTTCATGAATTGTTTAGATCATGATGGAAAAAGGATAGATAAAAAAATAAAATTATCTCCCTCAAGCCAAAATTAAAAGCAATGCATAAATATCTTACGTGAGAGAACAATCTTGATCGCTCTTCCTTTGAGCCAACATAGAAAATACATGATACAGATGGCAGCCAATTATGCAGTTCGCTCTGAAAAAAAAAATGTTCAGCATCAAAACACCAAAAATAAAAAATATTCAAAGCCAGTATGTATAAAGATAAATTTATGGACCTTCCAATTCACTAAGACAGCATTTGGCACTATAATGAGATGAGGTCCATAATTTCCTTTGAACTCCATCAAATAAGCAATCAAAGCCATGACCTGAGTAGAGAAAAGAAATTACAGATTTTAAAATCTAAATACCGAACAGCCAGCAGTAGTGCAACTCAGCAACTAGAAAATTTAATACATTCTTGAAATCAGGCATGATTTAAATGATAGACTAGAAAATATAAATCATATTGCATTTTGTAGGACCTGCTTTCCAAGTTACCAAAGTTTTTCTCCAGAATATGTAACAGATGAGAATAAAAAAGAAGTACTAAACATTTAAGAGGAAACAAAATGGAGAATAAAAATAAATTAATTGCAAGCCACCTGTACAGTTTTTCCAAGACCCATCTCATCAGCCAGAATACCATTTAACTTGTTGTTGTACAAGGAAAGCATCCATTGAAGCCCAATCTGGAAAAAAAAACAAAGGCAAGATAATTTGTATCTGTATTGAAGCAAAATTTGAAATAAGAACTTGGATGCAACCTACAAGTTGATAGTCCCTCAAGGTTCCAGCTCTTAACATTGATGGTTGTCTTAGAACTTTTTCATTGACAGCATGTGCCAGAGTATAGTACCTAGGAAAGCATGAAAAGCCTTATTTTCAGTCATTATTAAGCAAAATGTAAAATATATTCATTATCGATTTTCTGCAATGTGAAAGAAGCCTGCAAACAAACAAAAGTCACTTTACAGAACCAAAAAAAGGATGGCGTAACTAAACTTACTTGTTAGCTGATGACCCATCTCTCCTTGCGTTCATCATCTCAGAGAATGTGTTCCTTATCCTTACCTCTTCTCGAGCACATGCTGCAGCAGCTTTAACTTCTTCTTCAGAAAGACCCTGTGAAAATGATAAAAAAAGAGGATTATTTTATTTGATAATAGATACAAAAAATAAGAAAATCAAAAAAGCACAATCTTTTGCTACCTGGGATCGCGCAGCAGCAGCAGCATCATTTGCTGCCTCCTCTACACCTTGTTGCTTCTTTGATGTTGTTATCTTGGTTCCAAGTTTGTAAAGATATTCTTCTGTCTGAGACAAGAAGGATGACAGAACAGCATACCGTTGAGCTGCATCTCCAGGAATATTTGTTTGTTGCTCTAAAAGCATTTCTCTATATCTATCAACATCATTGTTTTTCAATGCCTCAAATCTTTTACTGCGATCAACATCCTTCCGCTTCGAGAACTCCCTTAGCATTCTCTCATGATACTTAGCTACGCCCCTATTAAGAGTGGTCCGTGCATCACGAATAACCCAGTGAGTTTCGAGAAGCTTCTTGCGCCATTGGAATATGGCCTTTAGTTGTTTCTCCCTTTTCACTTTTTGTAGCTGTTGCACTTGCCTAACAAGTTCTAACCTTTGACGCTCACACTGTCTAACAAACTTTCGATACGGCCTGTCTGGCATGGCCATTATCTCCTGCTGTTGTTCATCCACTTCATCCCTGAGGCGTGTCTGTATATCTAAAAGTCGAAGCTTTTTCTCCTCAATTTGCAGCCTCAAAACAAGATCAGGCTTAATTGTTTTCCTCTCCAAGTTAAAAGCAAGTAAATTACCAAGTTTTTTCAAGTACACATTCCTTTTCTTTCTCAGCGCTTCCTTGCTTTCTTCATAAAGCAATTCTTTTACATCATAGGCTAATGTAAAACTGTTTGAGTTAATTGTCGTTGTCAAACCCAAAAGTTCATATTTTCTTATATATAAAGACAAATCAAAAAGTGGACCATGATACTTTTTGGCATTTGATGGCACACTAGCCTTATCTGGGGCAAGCTTCTTTTCTTGCTCAACATCCACTGAAGAACTAGTTGAAGGAACAGATTTTCCCTTGTCCGCATCACTCTCGCCCTTGAAAGGGCTGTCATGATCAGCATCTTGCTCGGACTTTACAGAAACAAGGTGAATGTTTGGTGCATTCTCAGTAGTAACTGCTCCATCATCTTCCTTTGGTGCTACTGCCTCTACTTGTAGGGGACTCACCACTGGTGCTTTCTCCTCACCGACAGGCAACTTTCTGGGAAGAATATGACCCTTGCTCAGACTAGCAGGCTGGGGAACGTTGTTGTTTTCAGGATGCCTTCTATGCTCCTCAGGTTCTTGTCCCGTAAAATTTTCCTGTTTAGTCATCTTTGGAGAAAGTAGAGCCACTTGAGAGTGTGAATCAAGAGGAGATGGCACAATTGATTGTAAAAGTTCAGGCGGAAGAGCATTTTCTCCACGCTGCAAATGGCAAAACAATAATAATTAACTAGTTGTACGAGCATCCCTCAAAAAACAACAGCATGGCTAAGTAGCAAGATTGTCATGTGTGCGGAACATAACATCCAATCATAGATTAATACAAACATGCAAAAAGGTTCAATGTGCGAGGTGTTGCTTTTTCAGTACATTTTTGGGAAGGGTGTGTTGCTCTTAGTTTGAGCGTTTAAAGGAGTGTTGTTAGGGGGCTGGGAGGAGGATGGGATTTACAAAGCATAGCAGGTGATGTAGAACTAATTGTCACCTTGATTCGCCTAAAAGCCAATATTTGTGCTTTAAGAACAAGTAATTGTTGTTCCGTAAATCCAATTTGCTGCTTTGTGGCCTGCTCTGACCCTCCTTGGGCAAGCACATGAATCCCTGCAACTCCATTTGACGGCAACGCAGATGGTGGAGTAGGAAGTCCAATGTCCTGAGACTTCCTAAAAGATCGCATCTGTGCCAAATCAGTTGCCACCAATTTCTTGCCATTTGAAAGATCAAAACTTTGGCTCGAACTAGTAGAATCTTGTGGCAGAAACAACACTGATCCAGAACTACCACCTGTTACAACATCATCATTTTGTGTAACACTGATCTGAACGGCCTGAGGCTGCTGCATGTGTATACTCTTGGAATTCACAGGAATGGTGGCCACACCACTTCTTGCAAGCCCAGCCTGACTAGACACATTATTCATTGAATTTCCTTGAGCAGAATTTTCATTGGCAACGGTTGATGTGATAACCTGTGGCTTAAAGGTCGACAAACTAGATTTCTGTGCAAGTATGCTGCTGCCATTTGGCTTCTGCATTGTAGCCAAGCTACTTGATTGCAAAATAGGTAGAAACTGAGCTACCAGATTAGCATTGGAAGGATTTTTAAGATCAACATTGTGCTCCATTGCCCAAGTTTGCATAGCTTGCAACTGAGCCATCATCAACTGCTGGCTTGTAATGTTTCCCATGCTTCCCTGTGACTGCATTAATTGAATCGGCCTAACCATGTTTGTTGGAGTAAACTGTTCGGTAGCAGTTTGGGGAACCTTCAGCTCATTCTTCTGACCATTATAAATATGGTTATGTTCATTCCTTTTCTCATCACATCCGACATGATCAGCTGAGTTAGTAAATCTCGGAGGCTGTGCTCGGTTTCCTGCTTTAACATGCATTAGTTCCTGCATTATCTCTTCAGTACCAGCAGGTGGTCCCATCATGCGAAATTCACCTTGTTGCACTGATATGTTATTAAGTGCTTTCTGCTGCTGTTGAGCAGATTGCATAGCAAACTGGGCATAAGGTTGGTGTATTGAGTTTTGTGGCTGATCTAGAGCATGCCCACTTGGCTTTTTCTCATGAAGTTGCCTTGCATAGTTGGGAGGCAAGTTCCTGGGAACTTTTGATGCAGGTACACCAGAAGATGATGGGAAGCTACTGCCACCAATGACTCCATGCATGGCACCTAATTTATAATTTAGCAGATTCTCTTGTTCAAGTTTCCTTGGTTGTAGCAGCTGCTGCTGTTGCTTTAGTGACTACATGAAATTGTAATTGCGAAGTTAAGTAACATTTGTGCATAAGCTGCAACTATCTTATTAAAAAGGATCAAATTAGAAGATTGTAGATAACTGTCTCTAACAATTTTCCAACCATTCAAAAACATCATTTACAATTTTGAACAGAAAGCACGAGGATTTACAGGGACACATGATATGCAATGGGAATGACGGAAAACAACTAGATGCACTACCAAGAAAGAAAAAAACTCATGTAAACAATTTTGGAGTTTCCTTGACATTTAAACAGTGAATTGACTGACCAGATATGGATGTCGAATCTGAATAAAATAAAAAGTACAGATAGAAGCAAGTTGCTCAAATTCATAAAGAAGTCAAATTGATTAAGCTTCATCTAAAAATTAATTATTTATATAACAGTGATTTCAAATGTTAAGGCCAAAATAATTAGTAATTCCCTTGTTTTGATAATTTGTGTCTTATTGGAAGGTTCGACAGCCCCATCAATCCATGATCATTTATTCAATTGCTATCGAAGATGGCCAGTTCCCCAACTGTGGCTGTCATTGCGCCAGTTGACAAGACCAAGTTAGACGCTGTTTTCGGTACTTAAGTTGTCTTAGCTGTTGCTTCTATTGAATGGGGGCTTCCACTGTGTGATCAATTATCACGGTTGAATTCCTTCAATTTATTTGTTGATGGAGGGTGAAAAAACAATAGGACTAATGTCCTTATCATTCTAAAAGGACATTAATCTCTCATTTTAGATACACATATATAGACATGTACATGTGCATTATACACGCACACATAATATATATACATATATATAGGAAATTTACATACATACCATACAAATCTTATGCATGTACTTCTCTGACACCCTATATGTATATATATATGTATATGTATATATATATGTATATGTATATATATATGTATATGTATATTTACGGAAAAAATACAGAAAGGTTGTATGAGAAGACCTAAAAGAAAGCCCAACTCATACAATACAACACACAAAACTCAAATAAGTAAAGATACATAAAGAAAAAAAATCAAAAAGTCATAAAAGGGCACAAAAGTGTTAGGGACGTCTCACTTTAGTCCTGCCTCGAGTTCTCAGAAGTGAGTCGGTTCAAAAAGTCATAAAAGGGCACAAAAGTGTTAGGGACGTCTCACTTTAGTCCTGCCTCGAGTTCTCAGAAGTGAGTCGGTTAACAAATTAATAAGGTAAGTACCATTGTCCGTACTAACCAAAGTATCATCCATCAGATTCCTGAGCTCGAATAGATCTTCATTCTTCTTCTTCCTCCTGGATGTGTAGACCAGTCATTCCTCATCCGAAGATTGACTCATCTGATCAGTAGATTCCAAAGGTAGTCGGACAGGTGTAGGTCGTTGTACATCATGATCCCTATGAGCCTGAGTAACATTAACATCTTTTCGGACCTGATGAGACGCTAGTGAAGCAGTAGAAGTATTTTTACCTGTATTATCAGCGATAGGTTCCATGGCATGCGGAGTCTGAAGAATCTCCCTCTCCCCCATGATAGGAGGTTCCAAAAGCTGGGGAGTTACAACTGGGGAATGAATGGTTGTCATATTGCCTACGAGGATATTGACGTCTTCCAGGATATCCTTCTGATGATCAATAGTGTCAAAAACTAGGTGCTGATCGGGATGAGATAGAATCACAGCCTCTAGCAGAGCACTTTGTTTTTTTGGTCTGAGGTGAGGGTGTAAATAGTGACATTGAGAACTGGAGTGGTCGAACATACGACAGTTCGACCAATACGACGGAAAAAACTCAATCTCTACCTTCTGTCAATACTCCCTTCTGTCAATGCTCATGGTGTTGTGTGCCCAACCAGATTTCCTCAGAAGCGGGTGAATTGATGTCTCTTTCAACAAATACTCTGACTTCAGATGAACGGGAAAGATTAAAAGTAAGAATGTCCGTCTTGAGTGGCTTTCCATAAGCTACAGCAATAGAGTACAATATTTTTGTAGAAAAATAATGAAATTTAAGACCAGGGAGGCGAATCCAAACCGGGATGATTGGTGGTTCCGTCTGTGGGTTAAAATCCATAGACCATTTCAGAATCTTCATTGCTCTGTTATCAATCCAGATTATCATTCAAGAAAATAAGTGCATGTAATCTTATTCATTGTTAATTTGAATAAGAATGTATCTCTCATCTAATAGTATGATTTTCCACTCTCCAATAAGATGCATAAGTTCAAATTCTTTGCGAATGAGCTCCATTTTGGGATGACCATATAAAAATTTTCCAACCAAATTTTTAGACGACAGTAGGAAGCAAGTTGAATATCATCGTCTTCTGTAACAAAGATGGCAGGCTTCCTGATGTCCTCTGCCCACTCAAAAAGAAGAAAAGATGGCGATTTATGTACCTGAGGCGTGAACACCCGCAAGGGCAACAGCATACGATCTGTCTGAAGTCATCCCCAAAAGAGGGAGGTGGGGTTGTGGGACAGCAAAATGACAGTAGAGAAAGAGAAAATGCTGAAAAGAAAGTCGAGTAGTGAGCGATTCGAGCCAGAGGAAAGCTCGCGCCCAGACGTCTTTCACAGTACTGCGAGCGACGACAGGAGCCAAAAGCCCGCGCTTCTCGAGGTGACGAAAGAACGGGCCGCGGAAGAAGCCCACGCCCAAATGTCCTTCAAATTTCGCCCTCGAGCCCTACGCCTTCACGTGAGAGCCGCTGAATCATGAGATACAACGAGCCGCTGCGAAGCGACGGCGAACAGGCGACGAAGACGAAGATGAGGAAAGACGAAATCAATGAAGATGCAGTCAATCAGAGAAACCAGGGTTTGCCATGGGCAAACCCTAGCAGAACGAGAGCGAGAGCGACGAAACCATAATATATATATATATATATATATACACACACACACACACACACACACACTCTTATACACACAGATATATATATATTGGTTACTACTAGCAATGGCGATCTATTCCAGGAGAAAGAAGAAGAATGGAGACCGACTCCAGCTTGGGAACATATTGGATGATACATTGGTTACTACTGGCAATGGCGATCATCTTGCCAGCTTATTAGCCCTAGAATTAAAGGCAGAGATAAGACCAAATTGGGTTGCTCTCTAGCCACCTGATACTATGTATTTCGACACTGTTATGTATATATATATATATATATATATATATTATAAAAAGTCCAACACAAATTTATTGAAGAGAAAAGAATATAGATAGGTTGTATGAGTGGACCAAAATAAGCACCCAACCCATACAGTATATTTTTCTAGTTTTAGAATCATTTGTGGTTTTTGAGTGTGCAGGGTGTCATGCTTAGGCCCTCCCACACATTTGTATCTGTATCTTTCTTTCTATTTAATATATTAGCATTTTTGGGCTTTCAATATATATATATATATATATATATATATATATATTATAAAAAGTCCAACACAAATTTATTGAAGAGAAAAGAATATAGATAGGTTGTATGAGTGGACCAAAATAAGCACCCAACCCATACAGTATAACACAAAAAGAAAAGAAAAGAAACTTAAAACCCAAAAGTAGATGGTACATATAAAATCAACCAGGTCGACTAATTTTAATTTTGTCTCTGACTCTTGTTCTCAGAAAAGAATCAACTAACAGATTGGTGAGGTATGCACCATTGCCCGAAATAACCAGAGTATCATCCATTAGATTTTTTAGCTCAAGTAGATCTTCATTTTTCTTCTTCCTCTTGTAAGTATAAACCTGTCATTCCTCATCCGAAATTCCTCTTGTAAGTATAGACCTGTCATTCCTCATCCGAAAATTGTTGCTCATTCGAATGAGGTGGTAGTGCTGCAGTAGAAAGATTGTCAACAGTTCTGCCCACAAGTGTATGTGAGGTAAGAGTTGTCGCCTCGACCCCTAATACTTCCTGAATATGGGGAGCCGCAAGATTCTCCTGATTATCAGTCCGTGTAAGTAGGGGTCCTTTATTATTATTTTCAATAAGGTTTGAAAGCTTAGGCTGCTCAGCAGAGCCATCCAGCTTCTCATCAATCTCAGAAACAGTATTTTCAGGGGAAGAGTCCATAGGGGCAATAACACCAAAATCTGTCATGTTGTAGTTTTCTCTCTATGTGGAACACATATATTCTTAGATTCATCTTTATTCATTTGATCTTTAGATTTCAAATTAGGATGAAGCTTATGACATTTATCAAGGGTATGCCCATACATCTTATAATGAGAACAATAAGAAGGTATATGCTTCATGACGATTTGTTGTCAATATCCATTATGCGTTGTGTCCAATCAAACTTCAATAATATCAGGCAAAGTAATATCTATTTCCACAACTATTTTGGCCACAGAATGTCTGGTAAGGTTGAAAGTGGGTAGATCTAGTTTCATAGGGTTCTCAAGTATGGCACCAATAGAGTAAAGAACTTGATGATGAAAAAAGTGCAGCTTAAGATCAAGTGAATTAAACCATACCGGTACAGTACGAGGTTCATGATTGGGGTCAAACCAGGAGACCACTTGAGTAGCTTCATTGGTTTGTCAGCAATATTAAGATATTTTTGGGGAAAAATCCGAGTGTAGTCTTCAGGCACGGCTAACTGAATCAAAACATGTCTCTCATCCATGAGTTTCACTTTCCATTTTCCTGTTAATTTGAGGTCATCAAAACTTTTCCTGATAACTTCCATATATGGGTGTCCTTCCTGAAATTTCTCAATAAGAGCAAATTTGAATTTGTCGGTCTGGTTTGAAATTTATGACTCAAAGAAAAAAAGTGTCGTCTTCCCACTTTTCCTGCTTGCATTCTTAATAAAGAGGCAGTCACATGTACCATCACATTCTCCTTTTAACTTGAGGGGAAGACAACTGTCGTCTCCCCCCTGGGGTTTGCCCACCACGTGGGCAAAGGAGGTTTTGTCAGGTTCAACCGAAGAAGAAGTAAGCTCCATCACAGTAAGGAGAAGCACTGCTAGTCGGGCAAAGGGCAAAA